CCCAAGTATGGTCTCAAGGTGCATTCACTTAACTAGAAATGTCTTTATGCTTCTTTTTTGTCAGAGTAGTACTCCACTGTATTAAATCTTTATATATCCATCACTTGATGGTTACTTCCAAGATTTATCTATTACAAACTATGCTGCTATAAATGTGGGCACACATATATTGCTGTGGTATGATGATTTTAATTCTTTTGAGAAGACACCAAGAAGGGGAAATATGGGCCAGTGGGACCTCTAATCCTAGTTTTCTGAGGAATCTCCACACTGATTTCCACAGTGGGTGCACCAATCTATGCTCCCAACAACAGTGGAGAAGGGTTGCTTTTCCCCCACAGCTCCACCAGCATTTGTTATTGATTTCTTGATAAGAGCCATTATTTCTGCAGTGAGATGGAAGCTCTGTGTTGTTTTAATTTGCATCACTGGAATCAGCAGGGATATTGAACATTTTTTCATATATTTATCATTTCCACTTCATCTGAGAAGTGTGTATTCATCTCAGATGCCCATTTTTTGATTGGTTCTTTAAATTTGATGGATCTGATTTTTTTTCAGTTCTTTATATGTCCTAGATAATACTCCATTGATAAAAAACTGGCTAAAGATTTTTCCCACTCTGTAGGTTGTCTTTTCACTGTATTGATTTTTGTTGTTGATGTTGTTTTCTGTGCAAAACTTTATGTTAAGATGAGACACCAGTTGTTAATTCGTAGTAATATTTCTCCTGTGATTGGGATTTTGTTCATAAAGTCTTTGCCTACACCAATGTCTTTAAGAATTGTACATACTCTCTCTTTGATCAAATTTAATGTTTCTGTTTTAATACTTAGATCTTTGATCCATTTTGATTTTAGTTTAGTGCATGCTGATAGACCTGAGTCTAGGTTTAGTTTTCTGTGAAGTGTGCTATTGGAATTTTGATCAGGATTGCATTAAATCTGTATTAAAATTTGAAAGTATGGCCATTTTTACTATATTGTTTTTTCCTACCCAAGAAAAAGGGATATCCTTCCATCTTTTGATATCGTCTTTGACCTCCTTTTTATGAGTGTGAGACCTCTTCATTGAAAACTAAAATACTCAGATTGTCAATTTTATTTAATCTTTCAAAGAACCAACTCTTCAATTCCTTGATTCATTGTACTGTTTTCTTAGTCTCCATTGCATTAATTTCTCCTCTGATCTTTATAATTTCTTCCCTCATAAGAACTTTGTGCTAGACTTGCTCTTCCTTTTTCCTAGAAGCTTGAGCTTCAACATTGGGAGGTTCGTTTGAATTCATTCTGTTTTCCTGATATGGGAATTCATCATCATAAATCTCCCTAGAAGGACTGCTTTCACTGTGCTCCATAAATTTCATTATGTTGTATTGATTTAGTTCTTGTATTTCTTTTTTAATATTTTTTGTCCAATTCATGTATTTGTGACAGTGGGGTATTGAGGTCCCCATTATAATTCTCTTAGTGCTGATTTGATTTTTTTCATGTTCATTTATATTTGTTTTATATATTTGAATCTGCTGTTATTTGGTGCATGTATGTTTATAATTATTATCTCTTCCTTTTAGATTATTCTTTTACAAATATGTGTTGACCTTTTTTGTCTCTCTTAATCAGACTTGGCTTGAAATCCACTTTATTTGAAAATAGAATAGCTACCATTGCTTTCTTCTGGGTTCCTGTCACTTGAAGTATTGTTTTTCAGTTTACTAATTTGATTTTCAGTTTATTAATTTATTTTTGTATTAAATGTGGCTTTTGTATGCAGTATTTTGTTGAATCTTGCTTCTTGATTCATTCTACAAATCTGTTTCTTTGTATTGGTATATTGAGACCATGAACATAGATGGTTATAACTAATATGTACTGACTTATTCTGGTCATGTTATTTTCCTGTCTTGTCCCCCTCCCTTCCTCTGCTTAATTACTTGCCTTGGCTGATGTATGCATTCTGTTGGGATTCATGGATTATATCTGTTGGGATATAATTCTTTTTTTTTTTTTTTTTTTTTTTTTGTGGTACCAGGGATCAAACTCAGAACCTTGCACTTGCCAGGCAAGCACTTATTCCACTGAGCTATCTCCCCGGCCGCTGGGATATAATTCTTGTTATATCTTTTTAGGATATCCTTTTGGAGTGGTGGTGTAATATTCATGAATTTCTTTGAGTGTTCTTTGTCATGGGAGTTTCTTATTTCTCCATCAATTTTGAAAGATAGTTTTGTGTGGCACATCAATCTGTGTAGGAAGTTCGTTCTTTCTTTCTTTCCTTCTTTCTTTCTTTCTTTCTTTCTTTCTTTCTTTTTAGGGCTTAAAATACTGTACTTCAAGCCCTTTGCCTTGAGGGTTTTGTAGTAAGGAGTCATCTATGATTCTGATGGGCTTTCCTTTGTAGATTTTTTTTGTCTTTTCTGCAACAGCTTTTAATATTCTCTTATTGTGCTGAATTTCTGGAATCTTGACTATTATATATTAAATCTTGGTGTAGATTTCTTTTTGATCATAGCTAATTGAAGTTCTATATGCTTTACTTATTGTATGTCCACTTCCTTTACCATGCCAGGAATTATTTCTAACATGATTTTTTTCTAGAGCCTCATTCATCTTTTTTACTTCCACTGTTACCACTTCAAAGAGTCCAAGTGAATTGCTTTTGAGTTTTTTCACCTCATTGTCCTGTAGGTTTGCCTTTGGTGAGCTGGATGTCTGGTATTCTATCTTGCTTAAGTATCTTCTCATTTTGTATTTTTTTAGTTTCATTCCTGGGTTGATGCTTATCAATTCACTATAGCAAGTAGCATTATTTCCAGTATTTAGAACCCTCAGGAAATGACTACTTTTCAGGAATGTCTTCCAGATGTATCTGCCTTTGAGTTTTTAGTCTGTTGCAAGATCCTATCTTTTCATCTTGCTGGGGATAAAAAGCTGCTGTCTACGCGGTCCAGCTCCTGGTTCTTTGGAACTGGCTTGTAGTATTGTTTATGCCCCTCAGGCATTCTCAGTCTTGGCATACCAGGAAGAATAAGTGATTAGAGCACTATGTCAGCTTGGCTAAAGTGGTACAGTCAGTGATGACAGTAGAATCAAACAGCATGTGAAGTGACAAACAGGTAATTATTAATATATTGTCTTATAACAAAATCTAAAATGAGTCAGAAAATAGTATGCAGCAAATAAACCCTCAATATGGCAGTTTTACTCTTAGAGAAGAAAATTTAAAGGCAGTTAGGACGAAATAGAGAAATAGAAGAGGAAGAGATTATAAGAAAGGAAGTGGAACAAAGGAAGATCATACAAACTTTGGAGAACTGCTGAAGAAGACAGACGGGAAAGAGAACAAATAAGAGAGAACCGAATGGAACAAAAAAATACTAGAATCCATGTTTACACTCATAAAAACAAGAACAAGCTATTAAGAAAAGAGAAAAAAGAAAGAAGAAAAAAGTGTCCACTCGAAGGCACGTCTCTGCTGTTACTGGTGGACAGCGTGGGCAGAGTCTAGATCTGAGTTAGTTAATCCCAGCAAGCCAGCTGTAGCTTTATGATGGGGTAGGGCAGAATCAGAATGAGCCTGCGCCTTTAGCACTACTGGAGTTTAGGCTGATTTCTGGCTGTGAGGCTGAGACCTGAATTGCTCAGCCTGTAGCAGTCTGAGTGCCTTCTGCCTGCTTGAACGTGGGTCCCTGACCCTGTCACTGGGAGCCACTAGGTAGAGCAGCCTGCAGCTGTTCTAAGTTCTGAGCTCAGCTGGCCTCTTTTCAAGATGGCTACTGGCAGATTGTTCTCTGCTGGGGGGCATCTAAACCCAGATAACTCATCAACAGTCTGCTGCATCCACTGTTCCATTCCACTAGTGTGTTTCCCTGTGGAGGTTTCTGGGGTCCCCAGTGGTCACCGTAGCCGCCCCTCCCCCACAGTGAGTCGGAACTCAGGGAGGAAGCACGCCCTGCCACATCTTTCCTTTTCCATAAAGTCTCACTTTGCTCTCCCTATGGGCTTTAATTGTTGCTTCAGATGCCCACTGGACCCAGGAACCCACTTCCCTCCTTCTTCTCTTCCTCACATTGCTATATTCCAGCATCTGGACACCAAATCTTGAAGATGTACTTTCTCTGCTGCTCACTGCTCTACCACCTTCCTGGAAATCCTACATTTTAAAACATTCATTTTTGATGAGATTTATTTATTTGATACAGCATCTCACTATGCAACTCAGACTCATAGTGATCCTCCTGTCTCAGCCTCCCCAGCGCTGGGATTAGAGGCGTATGCCACCAAGCCCGGTCTCAGTGTCCAGCACAGCACGGGGTCGGTGTGGCACGCAGTACCACGGATTGAACCCAAATCCTTGCACTTTCTAGGCCGGTGCTAAGACCACCGAAGCGTCTCCCTGACCCTCCTTCATTGTTTTTAGATCACCCTCGTGGCTCAAATATTTGTGGGAATTTCTGTGCAATAAAAACATGATGTTGTGTCTGTATCTGCTTTACTTAGTGGGTCTGGCACTGTGAAAATGCTGGCTCCTTCTCGCATTCGAAATGACCCAGAACGGAAAGTGTTCTGAGTCAGTTCAGGACATCAAGGCAAGCACAGCAGTGCAGCTAAAGACCCTCAGGAAATAGGGCGTCCAGAGCTGCTGCAGAAGGTGGTGAGGACAGGATGAGTGGGTTCAAGGTCGCGGGGGGAGGTATTCTGAGGGAGACACACGGCAGTGTGTCCTTTACCATCATAATGTTCTTAAAATTTACTATTTGCTGTATTTTCTTCATCATATCATATATGTGGGAAACTGAATTTTTATAGTGATGGTCACATCAAGTTAAAAGAAATCTTCTATATTATAGCTTCCCCACTCTTTTTTTTTTTCTTTTTCTTTTTCAGAACCGGGGATTGAACTCAGGCCCTTGCGCTTGCCAGGGAAGCGCTTATTCCACTGAGCCATCTCCCTGACCCCGCTTTCCCACTCTTAAGTAAAAGAATTCATCTCTTTTGTAGGTTTGGTGTGTGAGGCTATATGGAAACCTGAGTCACCCTCCGTCGCACCTCTCCAGCACCGTGGTGCCCTCTGATGGTGAGCTTTGCTCTTCTAGATACACCTTAGATGGTGGGCAGATCATCATGCCGCAGCGTGGCACAGGGCGTAGTACATGTTCCCGAGGCGGGTTCTACACCAACTTGCACCAGGACACAGGCTCAGTACACCCAGGCAGAGTGGTACAGGCATTCAGAGCGCTAAGGACTCTGTATTTAAGCATTCTTTTTAGAATTCTTAAAGTATTTTGAGCAAATTACTTCTATTCCTTTTTTTTTTTTCCCTTAACAGAAGTAACAGTTAATTATAGACATGGCCTTCCTTTGATTACCCTCACTTTGCCATCCAGAAAAGAGCGTTGTCGATTCGTAGTCAAACCAATGTTGTCCACAGTTGGGTCCTTCCTTCAAGACCTACACCGTGAAGACAAAGGGGTGAAAACCGCGGCCATCTTCACAGCAGGTATGGGAATATGTGTGGGGTGTGTGTGTGTGTGTGTGTGTGTGCGCGCACACATGTGTTTTACAACTTTATCCAAAGGCTGCTGCTTCTTGACCTTTTGTTTTGGTTCTTTTTTTTCTAAAAAGAACTGCTTTCTGTAATTCATGATGTAAGAAGTAGCTGGCTGTCCTCCACTGAGACCTTGTGGTACACATCAGCGTGATTACGAAATACTAGCTCCACTGAATGAAGGAAAGCAATCAGACGGGCTCAGTGTAGGTTTAAGTACTTCAGCAGCTGTGCCCCTGAAGTCAAGGTGCAGAGTGGAAAGGCTCGGTGCCTCTGCTGGAAGGACTCTACGTTCACCTGATGGGAGCCTTCGCGCCGATACAGGGGTCAGAGCACAGAGCGAGTCAGCCTGTGGCCGCCAGGGGCGTCCCACCTGCCCCTCATCATGAATCAGACAGCTGTCACCCAGGGGAAGGCATTGTGCTGGGCCTGGGCCAGCCTTTGGGGACTGCGCCTGGCTTCCTAGCTCCAAGGGCAGACAGGCCTGCCCAGAACTCATAGCGCTGGGCTATGGTCGTGCTCGATATTCACTGAATGCATGAAATAAGGGAGCTAAAAACCATGATCAGTGTTTACTCTGCTTTAATCAAAAACAAAATAACTTTGGAAACAGAAGGCACAGCTAGGCATGGCAGTGCATGCCTGTAATCCCAGCACTTAGGAGGCTGAGGGGGAGGATTGCTCCAACTGTGAGGCCAGCCTAGTCTACATAGTAAGTTCAAGATCACCCTGGACTACCTAAGGAGACCCTGTCTCCAAAAGCAAAACAAACGAAAAAGAAAGCACAAAGAAAGAAACAGCAGAAAGTAATAGGGAGATTTAGAGAAAAGTAGCTTTTTGTACTGGCTGAAATGCTTATTTGGTTTAAATGGAGTCTTGCTGAAGAATACACAAAAAAATTCTATCATTAGTCCCTCACAATGTCTATGTAGTTTCATGTCCATTCCTGCTGTTCATATATTTGTAGAACTCAGGTGACTCCTTTCTATTATAACCTTAGAGGCTGATCTGAAGTTACTTCAGTGAATTTTCGAATGGTACTTGGAAAGTTAGCGACACTGATGAGTGGGTTGCTGATGTTTTTGTAAGCGATTCTGTGGGTAGAATTTCCCTGTGTACATTTGGCCTTGCCTACCATGCACTGAGCTTGTCTCAGTTTTGCCTGTTGTGTGGGTTGAATTATTTGGCAATTCTTGGGAAAATGATCTCACCCCAAAGAACCCGAGTCTAAGAAGAGGCCAGGTGCAGACTGGAGTGGCTCTGTCTGTGACAAGGAAGCACAGAACCAGCATCCAGCAGACACCAGGCCTCCCTGAGGCCCACGGCCCACTGCAGCTGACCAGGCCACTGGCAGGGAGAAGACAGACCCAGTCCCTTCCTAGACTGCAGTTCACACGATCCCATATAGACAGATCAGGAGAGAGGACGGCAGAGAGGCCCGGGCCCATTTCTACTTGTTGTTCAGCCTGTTTGTTTTCTCATCACCAAATTATGTTAAAGTTCCATTAAAAAAAAAAAAAAAAAAGTAACAAAACCAGGCTATCTGAGAAACTAAGCAAAGTACACTAACATTAAAAATTTGAAAGTGATTTTTTTTTCTGGAACAATCCTAGTATTCAAGCCAACCTCTTGAGACTGAGTGGATCTCTGAAGAAAGTGTTTATGGAGCAGTTAGAGATGCCTGTGGGAAAAAGGAATAGGTTTGGGGCAGTTTTCTACAGCTACCAGCAGCAATGACGGGTAGTCGTTAGAAAAACATCTGCTGGGTCCAGAACTAAGAGTCACCAGATATAGGAAATGTGGCCCACTGGGAAAGAAATTAGGAAAGACATTCCATTCACAATAGCACCAAGAAAAGTTAAACGCTTAAGAATTCACCTAAAGAGGTGAAAGACCTCTGCAATCAAAACTACAGTACTACAGTACACCGAAGAAGGAAAGAAAATGTTAGAAAGTGGAACATACCCTCTCTTCCTAAGTAGGTGAAACGAACACAATTAAAACGGCCCACACTGGCTGGGGAGATAGCTCAGTGGCCTGAGCGCCTGCCTGGCAAGTGCAAGAACATGGGCTCAATCCCTGGTATCGCATGCTGTGCCAGCCATGGAACCTGGTGTGGTGACACACACTTGTAATCCCAGTGCTGGGGGGGCTGAGGTAGGAGGATCACTATGAGTCTGGGCTGCATAGCCAGATCCTGTAACAAACAAATAAATAAATAATTTTTTTAAATGGCCACACTTCTAATATTGCTATGCAGAGCTAAAGCAATCCCAATCAAATACCAACAGCACTCTGCACAGAACTGGAGCAAACAACCATCAAATTCACATGGAACCAGAAGAGGCCCAGCATAGCAAAGATGATCCTGAGTAAGAAGACCAAAGCAGCAGGCATCACGGCCCTGGACGTAAAGTTATATTACAAAGATACTGTGATTAAAAACAGCATGGTACTGGCACAAAACAGACCCAAGGTATCAGTGGAGCAGAATAAAAGACACAGAAACAGCCCCAGGCACATTCAGCTAGCTGATCTTTGACAAAGGGGCCTAAAATACACACTGAAGGAAAACAACCTCTTCAATATATGGAGCTGAGAAAATCGGCTATCCACATGCAGAAGATTAGAGCCGTACCCGTATATCTCACTATGTACTAAACTAAAATCAAAAGGGATCAAAGGGGGCCGGGGAGATGGCTCAGTGGAATAAGCACTTCCCTGGCAAGTGCAAAGGCCTGAGTTCAATCCCCAGTTCTGGAAAAAAAAAAAAAAAAAAAAAAAAAAAAAAAAAAAAAGCAAAAAAAGGGATCAAAGAACTACATGTTAAAACAAAACCACAGAATCTTCTAGAAGGTGAAACAGGTCATGAGCCTAAGCAAGGGTATTCGGAACAGAAGTCCAGCTACACAGGAAATAGTTCTGAGAATACAACAAATGGGATCCTGTCAACTTAAAAAGATTCTGCACAGCACAAGAAACAACCAGCAGAGCAAAAAAGAAAACCTACAGAATGGGAAAAAAATTGCCAGCTATTCCTCAGACAAAAGACTCATATCTAGAACTCCAGCACTCTAAAATAAAAGATGCAATCAGAAGTAGGCACATGAAATAGAGACTACACAGCAGAAGGACAAATCGCTGATAAATATGTGAAGAAATGCTCAGCATCACTGGCCATTTGAGGGATGCAAATTCAGATCACACTGAGATCACACCTCACCCCAGATAGAATGGCCCTTGCCAGGAAATTTAATGGTAAGGCTGTGGGGAAGAAGGAACCCTTCTACAGGTTTTGCTGGGAATAGACTAGCACAACCACAGTGGATATCAGTCTGTAGATTCCTCCAAAAGCGAAAAGTCCCGCTTGACCCAGCTATTCCTATTCTAAATATATTCCTAAAAGAGTTGATGAGATCATATCGTAGTGACATGCACACCCACGGAAGCAACTGCATGTCCATCACTAGATAAACAGGTATAGAGAATGGTATTTGCACATCGTGTAGCACGACTCTGCCATAAAGAAGGATAAACTTGAGTCATTTGTAGAAACTGGATGCCTCTTGGGACCACAAAATTAACTGAAACAAGTCACATGTATGACCTTAACTATTGCATGTTTCCTCTTATATGAGAAACCCAAATAGTAAATAACGAGCAAAACCCAAGTTAATAAGAAGTAGGAAGACAAGATAAAGCTTTGATAGAGAGAGAGTGAGGTGGAGGACACAGAGGGAAAGGGGATGAAAAGGAAAGGAAATGTGTTCTGTCCTCGCACCCACTCCACACAAGGGGCATAAGCGTTACGTGCTGCACACACAGACTAATAAGAAATAAAGAGAATCAGTGGAAGAGAAGTGTACAATGAGTAAAATGTATGGTATTCTTAAATTAAAAAAAATTATTACAGTAAAAAATATCATTATGATTCCCCCTCACTTTGAACATATTTAACCCATCATTCTTGCCACTTAGTGAGGCCAGTGTGGTGGTGGCAATTTTAGCTAGCGCAAATCAGTTGTCTACAGAGACTAAGAATAAGAAAAAGCTTTTAAAAATGTCCACACTGTGTACATTCATGGGCCAGTCGGGTGCCCGGGTGCAAGCAAAAAGTCATCAGTAGGCTCTCATGTTGCCGAGCTCAGAGGAAGGAAGAACGGGACAAAGACCACTGCGGAGACCCAGGCAGCCCAGGGTTGCCCGATGGGCTCTGTCCCAGTGGATGAGAACTTGGGGACAAAAGCACAAGTCAGACCCAAGCTGGCACAGCACACAGTTTATCACCACTTCTACAGCCCTGTGTTTTGGGTGGCAGCGAATCACAGCTCCTGCAGTTGAGGTCAGGAGGAGGAGGAGGCTTTTATAATAATCAGGATAAAAGTAACCTCTTCCACACCAGATTGAGCATCTCAACCTAACTGCAAGAGGTGAGGCACATGCTGGGCACTGACATGGCAGGACCCCGGGTGCCAGGCTCTGTCTTCCATCTGTCTGCCTGTTTACAGGGGCCTGGGAGATTATGTGGGGAACACAAAGCTGAGGTCCTCTGGGGCAGCCCTGAGGATCACGACCCAGGATGGCTGCGGTGCAGTCAAGCTGGGCACCCAGGCCTGGCTGCCCTGGCTCTCTGGGAGGAGCTCCTACGCCCTGCAGCTATGTGTGACCTCGTACATACGGCGTCACCAGGCACATTAACTGGCTTCCAGTCCAGCTGCTGGAGTAGCTGAGGGGGCCCTGCTATCCTGCTGGTCCAGTGGCATGGCAGGTAGCGCGGCCAGGGAGGAAGTCCTCGGTGACACTGGCGATTGAATTTGAGGCGCTGCCCCCAAAGCAAATGAGACACACCTGAATGAGTAATTTTCTCTGTGTTGAAAAATGCTTCATACTATTGTACAGTGGAGATTTCATAGCACATTTTGTCTTTCAGATGGCAGTGAGATTCCAGCTTCAACCTTGATGGATGTTTTGCTAATGAAAGAATTTAAACTCATCATCAATGAAATAGCCTATGTCGTGCAGTGTCCAGAGCCGGGTAAGAAGCCCAGCTGTTCAACCACATTAACAGTCGTCTTTCCCTGCAGGGGGCTTGCCTGGGGAACAATGCAGGCCTGTTTGGGAACCATGTTCCCAAAGGCATCTTCCTCTCCTTCCTCCTCTTGTCTCTCCTCCTTTCTCCTCTTTTCCTTTTTCTGATCAGCGCATGGCACGTAACAAATGCAGCCATCGTGGGGAGCTGGCCTATGCACCTAGGGCATCTTCATTCTTCCTGCACCCCCCTCCCCGCCCTGCTCCATGTCATCTCTTAGTCGCCTTCCCATCTGCCAAAGCTTGGGCTCCCCATTGCCCTTTGTCTGTGTTTTATTTCACTCTTTATTTATGCTTTGGATCTTCTGAAACAGCAGCTTTTCCCCTGCAGGTTGCAGGAGGGAGCTTTCCTCTGAGTTTTTATCAGAAGCTGGTAGTCTCTGTGGGGAAAACTCACTGAAGTTTGGGCCTGGCCACAAGCCTGAGCCTCCAGGAAGCCCTGAGACCCAGCCCCCAGCTGCTGCAGACTGTGACTCTCCGAGGCTCCCTCTTCAGGTTTGGGGGCCACAGTTTGCCCTGTGACCACAGCTCTCCTGCAGATGGCTTTTGGTTTATTGTGTTATTTATTTACTGCTAGAACAGAATGAGGGCTTTGACACTCCTTATGTGACAAGCTAGAAATGTTTTAGAGAGGTTTCCTTTTGATCTCAAACTATAGGATGAACGTCCTTAGTATGGAAACCTGAGCTCTGGCATGTTCTAACAACTTTCTGAGCACTGAAGTTACTCAGAAGAAATGCCACACAGGTCTTCCACAACAGGTTGCATTCAAAATACAGGTAGACAAAAATATTGTGTAGGAGCTGGGGTGCAGCTCGGTGTCGGAGAACTTTCCTGGCATGCTTGAGGCCCAGAGTTTGACATCCCTTATGTATGTTCAAATATTCCAAAATCCAAAAAAGGATTCCTAAATTTTTGAAACACTTCTTTTCCCAAGTATTTTGGGTTGTTTGGCTTGCTTGAGGTTTTCTTTGTTTTTTTTGTTTTTTTTGTTTTTTTGAGACAAGGTCACTACGTAGTCTAGGCTTGTCTTAAACTGACTATGTAACCCAAGCTGACCTCAAAATTACTATGATCCTCCTGCGTTTGTCTCCTGAGTGCTGGAATTATGGGTGTGCATGACCTCACCTGGCTTCCTCTCAAGCATTTAGATAAGAGATACTCAACCCGATCATTTTAATTTTATTTATTTGTGTGTGTGTGTGTGTGTGTGTGTGTGTGTGTGTGTGTGTGGCCAGCTCAGCCCACCAGGGGGCAGGGCTGGCTGGC